CGTTCATGCAGGGAGAAGAGAAGCCCAGAGACAAGCTTCTTTTCATGGAGCAGCCGCCTCAAGGTCTACCAGGACTTCAACCAGGACAAGTATTACGTATCGTCAAGGGTTTTTTTGGACTGGCGACCGCCCCGCGACAGTGGTGGGCTACTCTCAAGAACGCACTGCTGAAGGTTGAGCTCGCGAGCAAGGATGGCCACAAGTTCCACTTAGTTCAAAGCTTGGTGGATCCAGCTTTATTTGTGGGACATGTATCAGACGGAACTCTGCAAGCTATTGTATGTGTTCGCGTGGATGATTTACTGATCGCTTCCAGTACTCAAGCCAGCTATGACATAATCAAGAAGTTGTTTCCGCTCGGAGGTTGGCAAGGGCTAGATTTCACCTTTTGCGCGAAGGATGTTGTCCAGCGTCCAGACGGAGCGATTCGAATGAGCCAGTCAGTATTCGCCGAGAAGCTAGAACCGCTCAGGTTGACCAAGGAGCGCAAACGAGATCTAGGATGCCCTGCCACGGAGATCGAGATCGCCGAGAACCGAGGCTTGATTGGCAGTTTGGGTTGGCTCGCTACGCAGACCCGACCAGACCCCGCTGCAGGAGTTTCGATGGCTTAGAGAGTACAGAACTCACCGACGGTGGCCGACCTGATCGAGACGAATCGCATCGTTTCCGAGGCCAAGCGCTACAACGAGACCACCATCACACTTCCGAAGTTGCACGACGAGCTCTGCATTCTGGTGTTTCATGACGCTGTGTGGGCCAACGTGGACGAACCAGACGACAAGGTAGCCGGCGCCGCCTGGTGGTTCCGACGTCGCATGCGCACCGCCTACGCTTCGGAGGCCCCGAAGAGGCTCAAGGCTAAGGGCCAGGCGGGATTTCTGTTATTCGTGGCCGAAAGAAGGATCATCCAGGACGGAGAAGGCAAGGCAGCTTTGGTTGACTGGAGGTCAGCTACGATTCGCAGGGTATGCCGAAGCACTTTTGCAGCAGAGACTATGAGTGCATTGGATGCTATGGGAGCAGCCATTGTTATGCGTGCTTCAATTCTTAATAATTTGTTTCCGAAGATGAGTATCGTCAGCATCGATCCTACCCTATGCCCGATTCAGTGTGTGACGGACTGTGCTTCTTTATATGATACAATTTACCGAGAAGGAGCTGTTAAGCTTCCAGCTGAGCCTAGATTGGTTTTGGATTTGATCGGACTACGAGAACTCATGGAGGACGAGATTGTGGAAGAAGTTGCCGCAGCTACTACATCAAAGTTGCCTTTGGCTTGGTGTCCTACTAAATATATGCTAGCCGATGCGCTAACTAAACGAATTCATGGATCGCAGATCAGGAAGTCGATGGATGGAGTTATCATGTATCATCAAGACACCCCGCCCAAGAGCGACCACGACTCGAATGCGATGCTGATTGCGTGGGCGACCGACTGGGAGTACATGGTTTGATTTATTTCTGCAAGTGGAGAGATATTGATAACGTGAGCATACTAAGCCTTTTCCATATTACGCAGCCCATCGGCTGCCTGCTCATTTTTCCTTGGCAAACTGTTTGCACTGGTGTCTGCTGTTTTTGAGACGGCGGATTTCGCCCGCTGCGGGGCCTGGGAGTTTTGATTTTTGGCACGCTGCCGTGCACTCCGTGTTTGTGCTTCTTGATCGACAAGGGGCAACATAATTTTAGAACCAGTGTGAAAGCGAGAGTGCTGGATAGCCCAGCGTTTGCCCCTCGTCTCACTTGTTTCTTATCCGTAAACATTGCGGCTCCCAGGGCCCTTGAGTCTCAGGCGACACACGGAAAACATCAGCGCCTATCTCAGAAGTAGCACCTTCACACCCCCCAACCCCAACTGTTCGACGAAAAATGAGGCCGCTCAGAACAGGAGAAAAACCATGGGATACACGCCAAGGGGGCTCTTCGGACGCACCCCCCGCGAGGCTGGACGCCCCCCCATCGTGTATCCCAGGGGGGGCCCTAAAACCTCCGGTCCGCTCGAGAACGCCACGAAGCCTGGGGGTCGACATCTCCTGTCAGTGGGGACTGGCCCGTTGGGGGGGGAGCATCGCACCCCCAGTCGCACATGCATCGCCAGTCCGGGCCTGGGCGCCCCCGCCGCGCCCAGGCAGGGGCGGCTCTGCCCTCGAGCATCTGCACGACCGACTCCGCGGCGACGCACCGCGGATTCCGGGTCGACGCCCCGCGACCTGAGCCCCCCCCCCCCGTGTCCCCTCCCCATCGGCCAGGAGTCTCCCCAGAGGCTCCCATGACCACGACAAGGATCTCCGGCAGCATCCAGGGGTTCCCCGCCGCGTGACCTCGTCGTCGTCGTCGTCGTCGTCGTCGTCGTCGTCGTCGTCGTCATCGTCGTCGTCGGTCGCCTCTGGGGGCGCATTTGCGTCGTCGTCGTCGTCGTCTCTGGGAGCGCCCCTATGGAGGCCAAATCCAACGTTTCAGGTTCCAGAATCACTTGGAACGGTTCCGGGGTGATTCTGGAAGCTTGAGACTCACCGTTTCCAGTTCCAGAATCACCCTGGAACAGTTCAAGCGGCTGCGCCTCGCCAAGCGCGTTCCAGGGGTGCCTGGATCGTCCCGAACGGCCACCGGAGAGCCGAATTATGACCCAAAAACCTCCTGGCGTCCGAGAAGAAGGAAGGCCCTCTCAGAAGGCGGCGGGACTTCTCAGAAGCCCTCTGGCCTTCTGAGAGGTGTGCTTTGTCTTCGGGGGAGGCTCAGGAAACTTCTCAGAAGGCCTGCGGACTTCCGAGCCTTCTCAAACTGCCCGCCTCTTCTCGCTTCCCCCCTCGGGCTCGCAGCCGAGCATGATTGTAGACTTCGTAACATATCCCCAAGGAGAGTGGTGGGGCCGCACCGCACGCACTGCGGCCCCGTTCTCACCGCTCGAGGGGGGGCTTGGGGATACGTGTGGATCTCTTGATCAAGGGCGCCCTCGAGGGCGCGAAATGATTCGCGCTTCGCGGTTCGGCTCCGATCCCTCAGCCTCCTCTTCTCCCCTGGGAGGCTGCGCGAGAGCGCGAAGTTATTCGCACTTCGCGCTTCGCGCCGCGCGAAGCGCGAAGTCGGGAGCCCTTGTTGATGGTCGGCTCTGGGCCCCTCCTCCCTGGCGGGCGGAGCGCGCAGCCGGCGGCGAGGGGCTCAGGCCAGCTCACACTCATCAGGAGGGAAAAAAAAACACAGACACAAGTAATCCTCGATTCCCAGGAAAATATGGGAAAATATGGGAAGTGGGGGGGAAGACAAAAACCCAGAAAATATGGGAAAATATGGGGACTATTTTTATTTGTGTGTATTTATTTGTGTGTCCTAATTTCCCTTTAACTCAGGCAGTTCGGAGCCCCGCGAGCCCATTCGGGCTCACCCGCACTCGGGCCCACTCAGATCGGAAACTGGACCATCCACGCTGCCAGCGGCGGGCTTTTCTGCAGTCCCAGGACTTTTTGAGGGTCGGGGACGACGCTGGGGTGGTGTGGTGTATACTTGTCTCCCCGATGTCCCGGGAAAGCAACGAACAATGTACACAGCAGGATCCCGTATACACCAGAATCCGCGTTCTTGTGCGAATTTTAGCGCAGGGTCAGGAAAACCGTCGGTGTATAGAGTTCGGTTCCCTATCATACTCGGACGCACTCGTACCCAGACAAAGCCATACTCATAATCACCCAGACCGACTCGCCACGGACTCAGTTATATACTCAGGTCACTCTTCTGTGTAATTACCCACTCATATGAAGAAGCACTCATACAAGTTTCGTCTTCAGACACTCACACTCAGACTCACTCTTACACATCTCTTATGGACCATTTCGATGAAGCAGGCGTGGCACTTGGGCACCCAAAGAGGGGAACAACCAGGGGGCACTTCTTGCACGAGCCCGTGATCCAAAGTGCGAGGACCTCTGCGGCGAAGCGCTGGTTTTGGCACCCCTGGGGGGCCCTCTTCTCAAGCCCCCTGATCACCGCGATGTGGCAGGGACTTTGTGGGCCCCGGAAACGGCAGGGCCGTTTCTTCACCGTTTCCGAAAAAATGTCCCTTGAAAATGGAAACGGCAAAGAAACGGCGACCGGAAACGCGGCAACAAAAACGGCTCCAGGATTGGACCCGGAGCCCGAACCTGTCAAAAAACGGCGACGGAACCGGTAACAAAAACGGCGTCGGAACCGCCAACCGGTAAAAAAAGGCCTTGTGTTTCCAGGGCCCACTAAGCGCACGATCGATCGGCCGTTCTGGGCCCGAGCGCAAAAGGCAGGGAATCCGTTGGCAGGTGACCCGAGGGAGGTCCGGCGCCGTGGCCGGGCGTCCCCTCCGCCCAGGGGTGGCTTCCGCCGCGATGGTATCCCCACCGCGCGGGTGGCTTCCAGGGCCCACCATCAGGGCGTGGCATTGCACGTTGGCATCCCCAGAGGGGGAGCTACCCGGGGGGTCGAACGCAGGGTGCTATAATTACTATACGGGCCCGTGTCGGCGCCCAGATCGCGGGGACCGCTCGGCATGGTTTATGATACCCCCGACGCCTATCCTTTGAGAGCCCCACGTGCATCGCGATGCGATGCACCAGGCGTGGCATGATCTGGGTCTTCCGGGGGGGGGGGGGGGGGAGCGCCAGAATTAGGGGAACGAAAAGTGAAATAAACATAAAAACTCGGAGGTCCGCGCGGAAGTCTCGGATCCGCGCTGGACCCCCCCCTCCCTGGCGCGCTGCGCGCGCCAGGGGGGGCGCCCGAGGCGCCGCGGGGGGGCCCCAGCGCCGATCCGAGAAATCCGCGCGGACCTCCGAGTGGTTATGTTTACGCCACTTTTGTTCCCGGGGTGGGGGGGGCGCCAGGGTGCATCTGCAGCGTCCAGGCTGCGGGAGCCACTCTGGCGAAGCGCTGGTTTGGGCGGGCCCGCTCCCGCGGCAAGAGGAGAGAGTGCACCTCGACTCGCGGGGGAATTTCGACAATTGTAGGAGGAGGAGGAGGAGGAGGAGGAGGAGGAGAAGGATAAGGACATCTGGGACCGCAGCTTCTTGCTCAGGCGTGCGAGCGAACGTGCGGGGAACTCTGCAGCCTTTTGCCTACAACCAGGGGGACGCGCTCCGTGCAGGAATGGTTCCACCGATGGTTTCACTGACCTGACTATGGCAATGGTTCTCGCGTTGTGGACCAGACTGACGGCGGGCGGGAGGCGCACGACATGTCCTCCCAGAGAGCGCCACCGAGCAGACCCTCCAGCTGTACGCCCGTGCCCACGAGGCCCAGTCCGCCGCGCCTGCGTGCGTGATCTGAGGGCGGCCGCCGTGTCGGCGCTCGTGGCCTGCGGTGCGGGGTCCACGAGGAAGAGGGCAGGAGGAGGCGGCGCCGGCAAGAGCGCGAGGAGCACCAGGTTCGACTACACGCAAGAGTGACCCTTCGCCTGAGTGACCTTTGGTGCGCGCCCACGGGGGCCCCCCGATCGCCGAGTGCGGTGCGATAGTAGCGTCCTGCGCGCCTGTGTTTGGTCCCCTCGCGGCCCTCAAAAGCCGCGCACCAAAGGTCACCCTTACCCAGGGTCACTCTTGCCTGTAGCCGACAGGAGCAGGCTGGCAGGCAGCCCGTCGGCGCCGCACACGGGTTCTGCGGCCCGCTTGCGGGGAGGCGCCAGCCGCCGGAGGGACCCCGCCAGGACCGCTGTGCACCGCGGCGGCGTGTCCGTGGCATCCTGGGAGGACCTTCAGACGGACGCGGGCGCCCCGACGCCCCGCGTCTTCGAGGCGCGGCAGCGCCTCTTCGGCGCCAGCGTGCCCGATCTGAAGTTCTGGCACGACGCCGCAGGCTGGTGCCCGCACTGCATGATGTCCTGGGTGGCCCTGGAGGAGATGAAGGTACCGTACGCGATGGACACCACCCCTCTTCGGGCCTACCTGAAGCCGCGGGAGAAGAAGCGCCAGCGCCTCGTGCCCGTGCTCCAGCTGCTCGACGACGGCCAGAGCTCGCCCAGTTCGTGGGCGTTCCAGGACGCGATGCAGGGAGTGGGCCGCGGGGAGCAGGTGTGCCGGATGCTCGTCGAGAGGTACCCTGCGGCAGGCCTGTGGCCCCAGGCCGCCGCGCAGCGCTCGGCCGCCGAGGACCACTTCGAGCTGTTCGTCCACCTGCAGCAGGCGCACTCGGGCTACAAGCGCCTCCCAGGGGGGCGCCCGACCTGGGGCGTCCCGCCCGCGAGGGGCACGCGCGACCCGAGAAGAGAGCGCCTCATCGCGGCGCTCGACGGGCTGGAGGCCGCGCTGGGCGGCGCGGCCGCACAGGGCGGCCCGTTCCTGCTCGGCCAGAAGCCGTACATGGTCGACCTGATGATGCTGGTCATCCTGGAGCGCGTGGAGGCCTTCGGTCGCAAATCGTGGGGGCCTCGTATACCCTCACCACTCCGTCGTTAGAGTGCATTTTGGTCGACTGGCGTCTGGTCGTCGGTGAGGTAGCGCCGACTCAGCGCCGATTCCGCGTCAGCGTCGATTCGCGTCGACTGGCGCCGATTCGCAAAAGCTGATACGCTGGTGTGGGCGGCTCCCCGTGCGTTGCTGCAGTGGAGGCGCTCCTGCTCCACCCGCTCCTCGGCGGCGCCTCGGGCCTGCTGCTGGGCGCCTGGCCGCGGGCCTCCGGGCTGCTGGCGGCGGGGCGCCGGCCCGGCGTGTGCTCCTTCGGCGAGCTGTGCAGCGACGCGGAGACCCTGCTGGCGATCTCGCTCCGCGAGGACCCGGGCCGGACCCCGGCCCTGCCGCTGCAGGACACGCTGCTGAGGCCCCGGCACACGCTGCAGGAGGCCGCGCGCGCCGCGGCCGGCCACCGCCGAGAGGCCTGCGCGGAGGCCGCCGCACGCGTCTGCGCGCGCCACGCCGCGGTGGTCGCGTTCGCCTGCTGCGGGCGCGGCTGCGGCCGAGGCGCCGACGAGGCCAAGGCGGCGGCCGCCGCCTACCCCAGCGGCGACGGGGATCCCGACGTCGACCTCGCCCTGCGGCTCGTGGTGGCGGCGCTGCTCGTGCCGGGTGGCCTCGAGCGCCGCGCCACGGAGCTCGAGGCGGACGCCCGGCGGGCCGCCCGGTGCTGGGGCAGCCGGGCCTCTCCAGCGCTCCTGCCGCTCCGGTTCCTGGCCCAGAACGTCGGGGTGCCCCGCGACATGGCCGCGGAACCCGCCGCCGCCCTGCGCGCGCACCTCAACCTGCTCGTGGCCGCGCTGGAGGGCGGCGCGCCGCCCAAGGGCATCGCGAGGCCACGGCGCGCGGGCGCCCGGCCCGACCACGGCGGCAGCGGCGCGCCCGCTGCGGGCGGGGACGCCCGGGCGAGCGGCGCGCCCGAGGGGCGTGCCGCCGAGGGTGGCCCTGGCGCGGCGGGCCTCCAGCGCAGGCCGCCGGCGCGCATCGCGAGGGTAGAGCCGTCTGCGAGCGGCGCCGGGCGGGCAGGCTCGCGCAGAGCGAGCTTCGGCAAAAAGAGTAGGATCCCGACGAGGGCCCCCGCCGAGGGACTCCGATCTTCTCAAGGGGCTGCACGTGCGTCCCAGGGCAGCTACGAGGAAGTCAAGGTCAAGCCGAAACGCGATATCGACATATAGCGCAGCCCCCTCCCTTCAGCACTACCTGGTCTCCACGTATCGTCGATACTCTCACTCTTGCTTCCACGCTTCTGTCTTGCTGCCACCTATCTCATCTCAACTGCTGATCACTATCCTCTATATTATCCTTCCCCTCTTCATCCTCCCCGTTTTCCTCTTCTCCCCGTCCTTTGTAGAAGTCGGTTCTCTGCTCTCCTCATCTTCAGCAACCTCCTTGTACACTCCTCTTTCCTCTTCTATTCCCTGAAGTAGAGGGAAAGGATTGCGTACAGGACATGAGGAGAGGAAGGGGGAGGGCTGAATAGATCATGCCGAGAGCACTGGCGACGCAAATATGAGGAACGATATGGGCCTCTTCCTCATGCGGTGCCCCCTCTTCCCTGCATCATCCCTCCTCCCGTTCCCTCTCGTGCTCTCCCTCCCCATCCTCGTTTTCACTCCCTTCTTCCTTCCGTGCGTCACCCGCCGTCCTCTTATCCTCGAGCTTCCCTCCCAATTCCTGCAAGGAGTGGCCAGGGAGGAAGAGGAGGGGGAGGACGAGGATTCAGAGCCTCATTCTCCCCCGCCTTATCCTCCCTTCCTATCTCCTTCCCGCCCCCCCTCATTCCTTCCGTTCATTGCTGCCCTCCGTCTTATCTTCAACTTCCTTCAAGTCCATGCGTGCAGGAAGCGTGGGATGCGTAGAGATAGGGAAAGGATGGAAGGGGAGGAGGAGATGCTCGGGGACATCCACATGGCGGGGGTTAGGCAGGAGGAGGAGGAGGAGAAATGGGAGGTGAAGGGCGGGGAGCAGGAAGGGCGAAATACGGGGAGGAAAAGAAGGACGAGGAGGAGGAACGTAAGGACAACATCAGAGGAGGATACAGAGCCTGAGGGTGGAGGGAAAGCAAGAGCAGGAAAAGCAAGAGGAGATGGGCAAGGCGGATGGATGAAGGAGGGGGGAGGGGAGACGTGGACCAGGGATTGAAATTGAACACGAGGAAGGGGCACGACGCTTCCTCCCTCTTCCTCACTCTTCCGTCTCGTCATCTCCCTCCGAAGCAGGAGGAGTAAGTAGGGGATGCTTGCAAAGCTGTATGGGGAGGGGAGAGCGGAGGGAGAAACGATCCTTGTGAGTTTACTGGGCTTGCGATGCTGCTAGAGGTCACCAAGCCCAGTTATGTAATTTGGACCGTTTCGGGGTCTGGTGTGTGAACCAAAGAAACACAGCGGTGTCATTATTGTTGACGGTTGAGATTTGAAACCTCTGCGCCGAATGTACGACAGAGCATCCCAGGATTGCGAGCCCCAGCGATCCCAACGGCAACACAGGGGTTGCGATGCTAACTGTCACCGAACCGAGTGAGCTCATGTGGATGTCATGGATCTCCTGTATGAGAATCGGTATAAACATATCTCTGTACATGTGGGAATCTGGAGATGTCTTGGATGTTAAGCCATCTTAACAAAGTCCACGGGGTCCTTGGCTTCCTTGCTCTCATCGTGCTTCCTTGGCTTTCACTCCACAACTCAGACCATGAACACACATGCGTGGGCAACCTCTAGCATCGCAAGCCCTGTGATTTCACAGGGGTCGCTCCTTCTGCTGCTTCCTTGTCAGAAAGGGGTTAGTAACATATGAGAGAACATACATTGGTTGGTGATCGCAGACGAGACGAGGAAGGCGGAAGGTGAATGACATGAAGGGAACGCAGAAGAGGAGGGTGAGATAGAAGGGATTGACACAGGAGGATGTATTACATGAAGAGGACAACATGTCATGGTAAAGCAATGTATGGCGAAGGACCCTACCAAATGCAGGCTGAGCGCTGGAGTGCTGGAACAAAAAGATGAGGATAGGGAGGACAGGGCCACGAAGCGTGTGACAGGTGTGCCAGGTTGGGCGCGGCGGCATGCGACCACGCCAATGGGGCGTTCGATGGAGCTCCCTATGGGGCCACGACGCGTGTAAGGGGTGTGCCGATATGGGCTGCGCGGCGGTCGGTGGAGCTCCCTGTGGGGCCACGAAGCGTGTGAGGGCTGCGCCGAAATTTGGGGCGGGAGGACGCCATGCGAATTTTGCCAATCGGACATCCGGTGGAGCGTCCCAAGGGACCACAAAACATGTGAGGGATGTGCCAGAATAAGCGGGGGGACTGCATGCAAAATTTGCCCATTGGGCCCTCGGTGGATCTCCCCAGGGGGCCACGAAGCGTGTGAAGGGTTTGCCGAGATGGGCAGGGGGGGCGCCATGCGATCTTTGCCAGTTGAGCGTTCGGTGGAGTTCCTTATAGGCCACGAAACGTGTGGAGGATGTACCGAAACCAGCGAACTTTGAAATTTAAGCTTTCGGTGCAGGTCCCCATGGGGGGCCGCGACACAGATGAGGGGTGTGCGGAGATGGGCAGGGAGACGCCCTGCGAGCTTTTCCATGTTGGCTTGCGGTGGGGGCCCTTACGGGGGCCACGAAATGTATGAGGGCTGTACCGGGATTGGCAGGGGGGCGCCATGCGAACTTTCCCATTTTAGTTTTCGGTGGAGCTCCCTAGGAGGCAACGAAGCGTGTGAGGGTTGCGCCGAGATGAGCAGGGGGGAAGCCATGCGAACTTTGCCATTCGGGCCTTCTGTGGAGCTCCCTACGGGGTCACGAAACGTGTAATGGTGTGCCGAAAGCGAAAGGGGCATTGGGACGCCATGCTGACGTTGCCATTCGGACCTTCTCACAGGGACTCATTATTGGGCCACGGAGCGTGTGAAGGGTGTCGCAGAACTGACCTTGGCGGCTGTGAGGGACAGGTGCAAGGAAGGGGAGGGTGGAGACGGGAGGAGGAGGAGGAGGAGGAGGAGGAGGAGGAGACGCGGGGCGCTGCTGATTCAAAGCGAGTGCCAACATCACGGGAAGGTCGGGAAATAAGACGCAGCGTTGCTGCATAGGGGTCTGTACATGCATATCAATACGTGTATATATGTATAGATGGATATACGAATATGCATACACAGATACATGTACACATACACTAGCCAGTCGGCTAAGGGCAAGCGGTCGGCGAATCTCAAGCGGCAGGCCCGCTAACAACAGCCAGAAAGCAATAACACCCGAGCAACAGGCTAAACGTCAGCTATCCTCAAAAAGAGATTAGGTAGTTTTGCAGTTGCCAGTTCAATGCAAGCAAAACGTAGAATAGCTGGTTGCAGGCTGAAGCTAAGTACAGCATTACGCAGGGCATGCACGCTTGTCAGAAGGCAACTTAGCCCATGCTCAGTATAAAGGAATCGACAGGTGAAGCCAAGTTGTAAGCAATGCTACATGTAATGATCCGGCGCGTTTTGCCACGGTCAAGCGACACCCAATTGAACAGCGAGGCATACCACAAACCATAAGCACGTGAAATGTTACGCCAGAGAAGCAACTGACATGCTAAAGGGCAACTAAAGCAATAGAGACCCGACGCGCCCTACACATGATCGATGTGGCAAGGTACGCGGACATGCACGAACGCACATGTTCAAGAGTAACCCAGCACGAAGGCAATCTGAAAGCCCGCTCACGGCATCTCTGGGCAGGTCAAAAGCAGCCTGGCGCGAAACACCCAAGGCAGACGGAAATTGACCGAGATAGCAAGTTGGTACACGGAATATGGGATGAGCAGGAGAAGGGGATGATGAACCGCGTTCGAGGAACGGGGTGGATATCTACAGTGAGCTCGACGGGATAGTGCACAGCCGCTGGTCCTCCTTCAGAGAATACGTTGCGACCTCCGAGGCAGAGTTTCTGCGGGGAGGGGGCCAAGGCTTGCCTCGAGCGCACCGCCACCGCATCGGGGGTTGAAGGATCCCTCTGCTTGGTGCCGCGAGGGGTCAAACCAGACAGGAGGAGGATGATGATGATGATGATGAGGAGGAGGAGGAGGAGGAGGAGGAGTGGGAGGAGTGGGAGGAGAAGGAGTGGGAGGAGGGGGAGGAGGAGTGGGAGGAGGAGCGGTTCCCAGCAGCGCCATCACATTAGGGAGTGGCGGTGTGTAGCAGAAAGTTAGGTACATCTGATGCGGCTGGCCTGGGCGTGAGCTGGATGCAAACGCGTTTTGATAGTTTTCCAGCGCTCGGCTCTTCACTTGCCGGGCGCGTCGGGCTTCCGCATGTGTATCCAGCGGAGAAAAACACATACACAATTGATCGTCGATCCCCAGGAAAAGATGGGAAAACATGGAAGGTGGGGGAGGAAGACGAAACTCCAGAAAATATGGGAAATATGGGGGATCCTGGGGTTTGTGTGCATTTATTTGTGTGTTCCTGGGCCCCTTCACATGTGTGTGTGTGGGTGTGTGCTCCAGTTTCCTGGCGCTGCACCGTCACCGTCAGAGATCGACGCCCTGTCGTCTGCACTGCGCACCGCCTCCGAGCACGCGCCCGCCCCCCCATCCCCCCCCTACAGGGGACGTCGCTGAGAGAGCTGTGCGGCCACCGCGACTGGGTGAGGCCGCTTGCTTTTTTGTTCGCCCTGCCCGCCTCTTGCTAGCATCCCTCCGCGCTGCCCATGAGGGGCTGTCTCCTCCCCCGCGCCCCTGCGCCTCCTCCTCCCAGCCCGGCTCCTCCCTCTCCCCTCGGCGTGCGTTGGCATGCTTTGGCATGCTTGCGCATGCGTTGGCGTGCTCTGGCATGCTTTGGCGCGCATTGGGGCCACCTTGCCCTCCAGGGTGGTGACACCAGGAAGCTGGGCCCACTGATGGGTTTAAGGCGCCCCCCCAGAGCAATATGGTTTGAACCAGGGGAGGAAAAACCACCCGGACCCGACAATTGGCATTTACTAAACGGCCCTGGGCGTTTATTGAACAGCTCTGTCCTGTTTGATTTCTTCTCTGGGTGCGTTTACTACACGGCCTCGCGTGTCGGGGTGGTTCTTATCGGGGTGGATTTGCTGCCCTCTAATCAAGTTCGTCTTCTGCCCCGTCGCCGCTGCAGCAGGCCGCGGCCCCTCCCAGGACGCGATCAGGCGGCTGGAGGGGAGCCTCGAGGAGGAGGAGAAGGAGGATCAGGAGGAGGAGGACGTTTACTACTACTCCTCCTCCTCTTTTATCCCCCTCTTCCCTCCCCTGCTGCTCTTGCGTATGTAACATGTTACTTCCCCTCTAGGTGGCCTCCCTGTGTGTGCTGTCGGGGTAGCCATCCCGAAGAACAGCGGGCTGCGGCCGTCGTTCTCGTCTGCTGCTTCCCTCGGCATCTCTTATTGGAGCGTCCTTGTTATCTGACGCTCCCTCCTGTTGCTGGCAAGTGTCCTCCCCCCTCCTTGTTGTCCTCCCTTCTTCCTCCTTCTACTCCTACTCCCGTCCCTCTCCTTTACCGCTTATCTTGTGCACCAGGTGGGGGGTTCCTTGCCCAGGTTGAGGAAGAGGAGAATCAAGGCGAGGAAGAGGAGGAGGAGGAGGAGGAGGAGGAGGAGGACGAGGAGGAGGAGGAGGAGGAGGAGGAGGAGGGAGGGTGATGAGGAGGAACACGACGGCGACGAGAAGAGGAGGAGACGAGGAGAAGAAGCTGAGGATGTTGGTCCCGCCCGTCACAGATGCCTGGCCGTCGACTGGACGCGCTCGCGGGCCCTGAGCGGAGGTGACGACGGTTGTCCAGGCCTCAGCTGCGCTCTCCGAAGAGGAGGACGACGACGACGGGGGCCCCCCGGAGGCGTCCTCTCCGAGGACGACGACGATGAGTCGATGAGGTGGACCCCGTGGTGGGGGATGAGACCACGACTCATCAGCTATGTGTGTGTGGTGTTCTTGCTCCTGGGTCTGCTCAGCCTGCCCGTGTACGGCTGGCGCTTCGCTGGCGTCTGAGGAGGGGGCCTGCGGCCGTCGTCCACGGGTCTGCCTGCTATGTATTGCTGCTATTGTTTCCGCTGGAACTGCTCATCTGCCTCTCCTTGCTCAGGGGCGATCGCAAATATGGATTCAGAGGGCGTGGATTAGCGACGGGTGCCGTTCCATGGGGAATCGCGGATTTCCGCCGCCGAGCGAGGCGGCACCGGCCGCATTCTGAGGAGGCCACCTCCCCCGATCCATGTTTGCGCGCCCCCGACTTTCATGTTTCGTCCCTCTGCTTCCTCTTCTCCCCCCCCCCTGCGCAAGACGAGACAGGGGAATCATGAATGAGGATCAGGTACATACTCATCCTTTGCAGCGCGCGAGGGCCAATTGTACTGGGGGCTTGGCAGCCACACTCGCAGAGGACTTCCTGAGTCAAGGCATGCTGCGGCAAAGCACCATGACACTATCCAGGTGATTGTGAAGCTTACGATCTGCACCTTGTAAGGAACACTGGGGCAGCAGCTACTAAGCACGCTCCGGCGTCAATTCGATTGCAACTGGCGCTCAAAGCAATCGATCTCCAACCAGCACTGGACCGACAGACAGAACGAGCCGATTGCCACGATTACTAGACAGGGCGAGGCTTGGAGAGGCAAGACGTAGAGGTGCCCACTGCGGACTCGCGACTGCCACACTGATCTACGCGAACGATTGGTGCGTCGCTGGGGCTTTCGGGCTTCTCGCCCCAGGGTCCACTTGTGTGGCGTGGTCCAAGAGTGGGCTGCTTGCGAGCTCGGCATTGATGCGATGGAGCCCGCGGTCACCCTTTCTCGGGGCACCTTGGGAAGAGTGACCTTGGCGTCAGCAGCTCCCTGCGGTGTGCACCCGGCGGCAAGTCGTATCCTTCGGACTCGCAGCAGACTGCCTCTTTGCCGCCCTGGCCCAAGAGAGTAGCACGACAAGCCGCAGCAAGCCCGTCAGCGGCTCCCGGCACGAGGCTGCGGCCTCTTCCTGCTCCGCTCCGAGAGGCTGTATGGCTGCCTGACGGCCCTGTGACCAGTGAAATCGGGACGTGGGCACGATTACGCAGGTCTTGGGCCTTCGCTTTCAGTGAAGTTACAGTCAGCCCGCATAATCAGGATGGGCAGCCTTCCGAAGGGTACCCTTGCATCCTTGCCCCTTCGGCCCATCCTTAGAGCCTTTCACTGGCCAAACTCGTTCGAAAAGCGTTCACATGGGCCTCCAAGGCCCTTGCATCCTTACCGCGCATCCGTCATTAGCAGGGCCACGAAAAGCGTTCCGGTGCGAATGATGGCAGCAGGACTGTGCGGCAAGGAGCGGTTCGTGCGTCTTCTTGCGTGCGGTGCCGAACGCTCGTGCTCTCGAGTGTCTCGGCTGCGTGGGGACGCCCAGGGACGACGGCAGTATCCTGAGGACCCTCTTCGGTGAGACCCTGCACGATTGCCTGCCCGCGTCTTCGCACTGGTCGGGCGGCTCGTCAACTTCCGTGCAGGGACGTATCTAGTCGCAGCGGGATGGCAGCGTCGCGCTTCCCCAGCCGATCGAGCTCGAGAGATGCCAAACACCGCCCCTGGAGGAGCGCACCGCAGCCGCAGCACACGTGGACATGCAGTCACCCCCAGGATGCGCCGTGAGCTGCCGCCTCGGTGCCGTCGCCCACGCTCCACGTCCTCGTCTGGGCCACGAGCGGCTCAAGCGCAGGCGGCCCGCTGCGACAGCGAGGCCCAGAGCATGAGGCCCGCTGCCCACTGGCCTGAAGGATCCCAAAGGCGACCGCGAGCAAACTCGACTCTGGCATGCCCGATTCTCGAGAAGGGGGGCCCCTGTCGTCCCATCTCGCCCGAACGAGCTGCCTGCCTCCACACCGTAACGAGCTCCTCTTGCGTGTGTCATCAGTTGCTGCCTCCCTGGAGCTCTGCACGGGGTTGACAGGTCTCGCACAGGGCTGGTCTCACTCCAGAGCCACACCGCCTCGAGGCAGCACGCTCGCCTCCTCCAAGCGCTGTTCTGCTCGCTCTCTTCGAGTGTCCTCCTCCGGGTCCACTTCGATCCGATCGACCCGCTTCGATGTCGATCCCCGCCCGCTCGTTCCGATTCGCCTGTGCGCGAAGGCCCTGTGGCCAGTGCCGCCGACCCTGAAGAAGACGACGTCGACGACGACGACGAGAAGCATGCGGCCGGATGCCTGCAGGGGCGCTGGCGTGCGCCCCGGCGCGCCGATCTCCCAGCTGGCCTTCGGGGCCCCCCCCCGCCGCCACGCGTGGACGCAGCTCGGAACATCTGGGCGCCTGGACCCTGGACGTCGGGGCGCTTGAATCCCGGGGACCGGGCTTGAATGTCGGAGGAGAAAAACGCAGTACACAAAAACTTTTGGCGTTTTCTCTTCCTCTAGGTTTGGAACTGCCACTGTCTCAACTCGCCCTGCTCCAAGCCTCGGGCCATTCGGGCGGCTTCGGCTCGGCGTCCGTCCTGCCGAGCTGCTGCCTCCGCCGCGCCGTGTCCTCTGCACCTGCGCGCTGGTCCAGCCCTGCCCAGGACGGCCTGCGAAGATTTGGCGGTGTTGGGTCCTGCTCTGCCCGGCCTCTCTTGCTGCTGGCGCCGTGGCTTCGGAGGCGCCCGCTCTTGCCGCCCCGTCCGGGGACCGAGGCTGAGCTGCCGGTTGCCTCAACTCGCCCTAGAGGGTCCCGGTCGGAGGCGCCCGCTCTTGCCAGTCCGTTCGGGGACCGAGTTTGAGCTGCCGTTGCCTCACCTCGCCCTTCGGTCGGCGTCCCCCCAACGTGCTCATACTATGATGTGCGTCGCCCCCCCCCCCCAACCCCCAGGGCGACGCGCGCACCGAGAGACCTTGTAGTGCAGGCTCTCTGGCGGGCGCTGTCTGGCTGTACCGCTCGGGAAACGATGTACCAAAGGATGGGTGTACTATGTATGTTGCTCGGTGTCGGACGCTCGCCTCCAGGGAGGACAGATAGTATTAGCATGTCTCTGTGCGTCCCATTCGGCGGCGAGCCCCGCGGGGGAGCGAGGAGGGCCGAGCCTGCTCAGAAGTTGTCTGAGCCTTCCCCGAAGAAGGCGGGACCTTCCCCGAAGGCCAGAGGCCCTCCGAGAAGGCCCTCTCCTCCTCGCCCCCCCCCTCGCCGCCGAGCCCTGCTCCGAGGGGGCCCCCGGCCTCGCTGGGCCCGAGGCCTGCGGCTGTGGGACCTCGGCCGCGGGGAGACCATCCGCGTGCTGCGCGGCGCAGCGGGTGCCCGGCCCCCCCCGCGGCCGTCGCGGGCGGCGAGGTCTGCGTTCCAGGGGAGGCCTCGCCTTCGAGGGGGATCGGAGAGAGTGTTTTTTTTTGTCGGAGAGCAGAGCGGCAGGAACATAAATATCTCGGAGGCCCGCGCGGATTTCGTCCAGCGCGAATCCAAGAAGTCCGCGCGGACTCAGAGAAATTATGTTTATGCCGTTTTCGTTCCTCTTTTTATTAAGGTCTCCTAGATGGGGTCGGAGCAGATGGGGTCGGAGGATTGATTTGCTCCACGTCGACGTTGCCGATGCATCGCCCACGTCGACGATACATCGCTGATGCATCGCCGATGTGTCGGCGATGCGGGCGTTACGTTTTGCCCACCCGCCTCCTCCTCCTCCTCCTCCTTCTCCTCCTCCTCCTTCGCCCTCCTCCTTCCCTCATCCTCTCCATCCTCCTCCCCTCCTCCTCCTTCTTCTCCTCCTCCTCCTCATCCTCCTCCTCACCCTCCTCCTCGTCCTCCGCCATTCTCCTCCTCCTCCTCCTCCTCCTCCTCCTCCTCCTCCTCCTCCTCCTCCTCCTCCCTCTCCCTCCTCCTCCTCATACCTCCTCCTTCTCCTCCTCTCCTCCTCCTCCTCCTCCTCCTCCTTTGGCCGACCGAGAGTTGCCCCGCCCCCCCGCCCACCCAGAACGCCCGCTATCGCCGCGATTGCGAAACATCATTTCGAAAGAACTTGAGATCCGAGCATTGCAACTTTTCGCACCAGAGGTCCTCGCCCGGTTCCTAGCCTTGAGTCGGGCCTGTATCGAAAAATAGTCAACAAAATAGTATGGGGACGATGTTTGTAGTATGTTCTAGCTTTTGGGTGATATTTGTTTCCTATTTTCCTATGTTTCTCCAAAAATTCCCTGTACGGGGACATGCCCGACCTCATCCTGGCCCCATGCAGGACCATCATTGATCGATCCCGCTCGAAGAATGCAGCAGAAAGGTGGCGTCCACGGTTCTGGTCGAGTCTTGTTGTTTGTTCGTTGCGCGACGTGTCAGTGTTTCCGCCACGTTGGTCCTCTCAGGAGTTGACGGCCCTTCCCCGGCAGCAGGCGGCAGAAGGTTGGCGGAAGGTGGCGGAAGCCAAGCAAGGGCGGTTCCGCCGGCGGACGCACGGCGGGAAGCCCAAGTCGGCCCCCAGGAGGCGGCAACGTCGTGGGGTTCAGGGTTCTGTCAGGAGGGAAAAACACACAGGCACAATTCATCGTCGACTCCCAGGAACATATGCGAAAATATGGGAAGTGGGGGGGAAGACGAAAACCCAGCATAGACAGGAAAATGTGGGGAATCCTGTTATTTGTGTGTATTTATTTGTATGTCCCAGGGCCCCTTCTTTCTGGAACGGTCCACGCAGTCGAGGCGCTGGAACAGTGACCACTTTGGGCTCAGGAGGGGCTCGGGCTTTCGGGCCGCTCCCTGGGTCTGATAAGTAGGTCGGGAAAAACCTCTTCGTGGACGGGTCCCGCCGTGGCCGGGGAGGCCCCTGCGCTCCTTGCCCGGCGTGCCTCCTGGCGGTGCCCTGGCCGCAGGTCCGCTGCCCCCCGGGCCAGGCCCGCCCTGCAGGCCCGTGGGAGCGGCGCGGACGCTTCCCCGGCCCGGCCGGGTGGGCGCCCGCGCTTCGCTCGCGGGGCCCCGGGCGTGGGCCTGGCCCGGGGGAAAGCTCGGGGGCAGCAAAGAGGGGGGTGATGGCTGGTGGTGGGGGGGTATATCATGGCGTGGGCCATGATATTTCCCCAGATTTCATGGCGCCTCTTCTTATTTTATTACGTCCCTGGCCCCCCCGCTGGGCCGCGCACAGGCCGCCGGTCATGATTTGCACCCCCCCCTCTTGGACACCCCCTCTTAGCCGCTCCCGAGAAGCGCGGAGCTGTGCAGGCCTCGTCGCCCGAGCTTTCGCCACCGGGGGGAGAGGGGGTCTCAGGGGAGGCGGGTTCTGATGAGGCTTCTCGCCTGTTTCGGGCGTGGTTCCCACGAGATGTTCTTAGAACATTTCTGGCGGAGTCTGCCTTGTTGTATCACATCGTGCTTATGTCCAAGCACATTGTTTTTGTTCTTAGAACATTTTTGGGTTCGAAAAACGCTTCGTGGTGGGACTATAGGAATGCCGGGACGGTCGGTCCCTGCTCAACCAGGGGCCCCGGGACTGTGAGCAAACGGCTCAGGCGGAAGAATTGGTCCTGGGAGTAAGGCCCCGGACTCCAGATCACGTTCCCCCAGGGGCCCGTGTTCCCCCGATGCCAAGAGTTGATATCAGGATGGAAGCATGGGCACAGACACAACGGATCGCCGATTCCGAGGAACAGGTGGGGAAGTACAGGACATGGAGCGGAATACGAGAATCCAGAAAACACGGGAGAGACCATGGATAAGTTTCGGGTTTGCGTATCTTTGTTTGTGTGTCCCCGGGCCCCTTCAGCTCAGCTGTCTCGTTGCGCCGCCAGGTGTCCGCGAAGGAAAAGGAGGTGGAGCAGGGGGGAGACAGATGGGGGAGGAGGCGGAGAAGAGAAGGGGGCGGGAATATGAAGAAGTAGGAGGACGATTGGGGGCGGGACGGCGAGGGGGAAGGAGGAGTGTCTCTTTAGCACACGTGTGATCATCAGCAAGAGCATTTATTCGAGCGTTGTTGCCGCGCTGTGGGTCCACACATCGCATTCGAGGTGTATTCCGCCCCTGAACCCGATAGTAGACATGGGGTGGTGAATCTTTGTCTTCGAGCGGAAGTGCGCGATGTGCCTTGAGCTACACACATCAAGTCTAGGCCGTAGAATCACGTCGTGGCAAATGGATAGGAGTAGAAGAAGTAGCGGGAACAGGGCAGCAGGAACAGGAGTATCATGAAATTGATATCTATACGCGTCATGCGCAGGAGGAGGAGAAGGAGCAGGAGAAGGAGGAGGAGAAGGAGGAAGAGGATTTCCAGCAGCAGCGATAGAGTACGACGATGATGATGAGGGTGTGAAGGACGATTAACCAAGACGTCCGAGACGACGCAACTTTCTTCTCTGCTGACTTGACATTGGCTAGGCCCGCGGGTGCGTGCCTGCCCAATGAGCAGCGCTCCCCGCGCTCTCCCCAACCCCCGCAAAGCTGTCTAGGGTAGCGTCTTTTCTGTATCCGCGACTGCGGTGGCGCCTCGCTGTTCGACCGGGCACTGCTCGCGTGGGCCGGGCCCTCGCGCGGGGTGCCGCGGCGGCGCCGCACCCGTGCGGGACGACCCCCTCCGAGTCTGGCGGGGTGCGCTTCGCTCCCCGACGGGCGCAACGCGGCGCCTCGCTGCGCGGAGGAGGGCGCGGACGCGGGCGGAAGTCTCGCGCAGGGGTGGCGCAGCTGCACCGCAGCGTCGCG